AAGAAGAAAAGAAATTGGCATAATACAAGGCAAGTAAGTTCTTATAGAGTGGTTAGAATTCTATAGTATTGCAATACAAGTTCAACCAACTGTAAAGACCATGGGGTAAGCAAAAATCTTCAACTATTGAAATATAAAGTAGTAGTACTTAAAAATATAATATACCCTTTAGCAAGGTATATTTCTACTTCTAAATTTGAAATCATACGTATTGGGCATCCATGCAACAGATATCCATTGTAAAACTGTGGTATGGGTGGATGACTAGTTAGTGAATGTAACCCATATCCACTGTAGGCCTGTGGTATGGGTGGATGACAGTGTTACCTATATGATCATGAAATAAAATTTGGATATATTGTTATTATAGATCTTTGGAACTTTAGGGGATAAATAGAGATAAAATAGCCACTAAAGGCTCTCTCATCAAGCAACTACCCCTTTTCCAGGCAATGTTAGGAGTCCACCTCAGCTTCAAGAAGATTTTGTTCATGTCTAGGCTAAGCCAATAGATTCAAGAGCTTCTCTTGTTCCTGTCACTTATCGTGACCAAGAGGTAGGGATGGCATTGAACGACTCAGGCTCTTGCAACAATGTGATGTTTGATACATGTACTCAGCCTGGAGCTCACAAAGTACAACATTCCTATCTCAAGACATTTGCACAGCACCTTGTTGTCCCCAAGGACATTTGTAAGGACATTCTCATCTATGTAGGTAGTGTGGAAACTTTGGTGGATTTCTTGATGGTGAATTATGAGTCAGCCATGGTTATATCACTCATTCTTGGATGAAGTTAGTAGGCTGCTATTCATGTTCAGACAGATTCACACAAAGGATTGTTCTTCATATTCACTTTGCTACCTTTTCCAACAAGCAAAGCGCCCTCTCGGCATCACCAGCCATCTCTTCACTTGCAGCAGCTTAGAGCATCCCTAAAGTTGATGCCTTTCCAATCATCTTTCTAGAGCTGATTGACAATGACTCTTTGCTGGGGATCCATGTCCTAAATTGCGCTTTTATCGTGCAATATCCTTCTGTGGAACTCAACCATTTATTCCACAGCATGTAAACTCTCTGGGAATGCAAGCACTCCTTTCCAACTAACTCCACTCAGTTATGAAGACCTCTCGATAAATGCCTCACATTTGGCTGGGGAAGCCTTTCTTGGCTGTTTTGGAGGTACTAATAGTGGATCCAGACTGACTCCCACAAGAAATAGAGCAGCTTGATGAGCAAGATTTCCACTCCCCAACACAGGAAGGCTAGATTCTAGAGGTCATGGAGAACAACAAAATGGAGCCTCTAGCTGAATCTCCCTTTCCCACTAGAACTTGTCTGGAGACTCGAGCCTCTTTATTTGAGGTTGGACCCAATGCTGTCTAGGATCCTCACTTTTCATGCATTGGACATTCTGAGCATAACTACAACTTGGTGGCATTTGGAGGAAGTCTTCTACCACAACCACATAGCAATGGCACACTTTCCTTTTGCAGGCATCTGCATCGCCTTGGTTCATCTAGCTAGTTTCAGAGCTTCTACACCCACATGAAGAAGTCTTCTTCACAGCTCTAGCAAGCACGGACTTGCTTTACCCTGTTCTCTTCCAGTAATGACTTCTTTCTCCTGTGCTTTCTTCTTTTTTTTTCTTTTCATTTTCTTTGGTTCTTTTCCTTTGTTTTTTAATTATTCTCTTGCTTGAATTCTAGACTTGGAACTACATTACTACGACAAGCTTTGTAATTTTTTGTTATGCTCAAAAGTTTGAATTTCCCATCCTACATTCCTCCACTTTTACACCTTTCACAATTACCACCTCTCACTTTCTACCATATTCCACATTTAGCTTGAAATTTCTTCTCAACAACCAGGTACAGATTCATTATAGTATCCTATATGTCACCTCCACAATCCAGGTCAAGTTTTTGACCACTTTTCAGATTTAGCAACAACTCTTTACAGCACAGCCATTACCTCTTCTATTCACAATGTAGCTGAGTCCTATTTCAACCATAGGAGCTCTTGATCATGGCATCCAGGTCTTTCTTTGGAGCAGCCTCTTACCCTACATCCACTTCTCTTAACCAGCCGTAGTGTTTTTGCAAAGACACCAGTTTTCCTATGTAGTGTTGCAATCATGCTAGCATTTCTATAAGTAAGCTAGGAGGCATCCTCTCTACAGGCATGGCTGATATGCACTTTTTCCACCTCTAATCCACCTTCACACTTTCATTTGGGCAACACTTGCCCTTTCTTCTTTTCATCTTCACTCCAAACTTTGAGCAGATTCAAGGTCTAGAGGTACTTGTGGCGTAACTTGTGGTGCAACATTATACAATGCTTTCAAGGTCTAGGATTAAAGTTTGAGTTTCTTCTCTTTAGCATCTTTCACTTTTTTCTCTTTCTTTATTTCTTTCTTGCTTCTTTTCTCAGATCTAAAGTAGAGTTACCAAATTTTCTTACTAAATTCCTCTATGTCTTCAAACTTTTCACCTTCTACTTTTCTTTTCTTTGAGCATTTATCTTTCTCCACAATTACCTTGTTTGGGCATCTTTCTTCATGCTCTTTGTGCAAAGCATGGGGCTAGGGCGTTGGGGCCCTACACAATCCTCCCCTGGTCACCCTGTTGCATGTTGTGCCAAGATTCAGGTAGTATATTCTTGAGGTGCACATGGGAATATTCCTCTTTAAAATGAGAGATTCTTAGAGATCTTTAGAGATTAAGAGCACGATATAGCATTTCTCTTTAATATAGATCTCTTCCCATATGAGAGATCAGCATTGCACAAGAGGTTTCTCTAGTTCAATAGAGAAACTTCTTTACCTCGTGTTGATTTAGATGATCTTCAGTTCTTCAGTTATCAGTTCATACATTGGAGATACCAAAGAAAACAGCTACATGGATTTCATCAAATGAAGCAGCATCAAGAATGAGTTCATAGCGGCATGGGACAACCTTCACACCTCTCTTACAATATAATCATTCTAACATAGAATTGGCTGTTGCAGTTAAACCTTCCCCTTCAATTGTGAGAGAAGTTCGTAAAATTGTTTTAAAGTTTTTTTTGTGATTAAAATTTTTGGTCATAACCATCACTATTGTGCACAGACTAATAAAATTAAGCCATGTCTTAACTTTAAACAAATGCCTTTTTGTCTATCGTCCATGTGTGGCATGCATGCAATACTACCACATGGCTAAGCAATACTGAGTCAGAAATAACGGGGTGCGAGATGCACTCTTGGTTCGAGAATGTGAATTCCCAACTTTCATTTCCTGTCTATGAATCAAACACTGCTCCAAATGCCACGATCTTCTTTGTCTTGCACACGTCGCGAACGGCCTCCGTGAACTTCGCGTTGGACACCACAAAGATGGCCTCTGCCCTAAACTCCTCGTAGCTCGCCAATGCGATCTCCGACTTAGGCCGCCCCATCTCCGCGGTGTCGTAGATCGTGTGGGAATGTTGGAATACGCGATCACAGATCTCGTCCCGGTGCTTCTTGGCGATCCAGACGACGTGAATGGCGACGCAATCGCTGCCAATGTGTGGGAGGATTGGGGCAATTCCAGCCCCAGTGCCCACGCAGATCACTCGGAAGAAATGCATAATACAGCACCCCTCACTCTTACGTGGTTGCCCCTTTGCCACGCTCACTCCTCGCGTCCTCCGTGGCGTGTTTAGTCACGCCCAGCTCTGCACCCTAAATGTTTATCATTAGGTTCCATTAAACTATGTCTTTGAAAGGGATTCTCTTAAACATCACGATTGCATCGTTAAACTCCACAATTGCACCTAGGAGGCTGTTCCACAAGCAGCAGTCCCACTCGGGCATCTCAAAGATTTATCTCTTTAATTTATAATAATGAGGTGGCATGCGCATGTAAGCAATGAGGTGGCATGCAAATCCAAATAAACAAATGGGGCCCACCCTAAATAAGGGGGGGTGCTGTATTATGCATTCATTATGACGATCAGAATATTTCCCTGCCTCCCAACGCGGACATGGACGCTCTGGCGCTCGATCAAGAACCACGAGTAGAACACGAGAAGGAGACAGGCTATGGCGATCGTAGCGCTGGCGATAGAAATTCCTGACAGATTCCAGCGAGAATGGAAGAATTTCCTGAGCAAGATCGCCGTGAGGAGGAGGAGTGACCAGCCCAGGTATCTGTGGACTCTCTCGAAGAGATTGTGGTGCCGGACCCTAACGATCGGCATTGCCAGGATCATCATGATCGAGAGACCGGCGACGAGCACGGCCAGCATTGCGACGTTCGCGGCGTCGATTCCATGGGCAATGTGGCCATGATCGCCGATGGGGAGGATCAAAGCAATGGTCGTCCACACGAGGAGCATGATCGCGCAGCCCGTGTGGATCAGTGGAGCATTCGATTAAAGAAGTATTTCCTCCATGGGATCCGGACGACGATCTTGTAAAGCAGCAGCAACACCGTGCCGTTGCGGATCGCCGCTACCGCCAGGAGATTCACAAGCGCCATGGCGGTGGCCAGCTCCGCGCGATTGACGCGAAGGTCGTCCACATCGATCGAGAAGAGGGCCGCGACGATGGCAAGATTGACCGGGAATATCACGAGCCACCACACGTTGTAGAGAGTAAATCCAAACCTTCTTCCCCATCCAGCTCCCAGACGAGCGTGCTGCTTCTTCTCCACGATCGCATTGAGCCGCTTCTCGATCCGGGGCGTCGTGGATTCCTCATGGAGTTCTTGGGCGGCAAACTCCATGATTCTCTCGATGACAGTGGCAGAGCAGCAAAGCACCATATAATGCTGGAGACGCCAGACCCGCTCTCCGATTCTCCCTCTCTCAATTCCATCTTGCATTTGTCATTGGAACTTTTCCTTGGACTCTAATTTTTTATATCTTTCGGAGACTTTAGATAAAGACACAGAAGAAGTTGGAATACAACACTCCCAAGATTTTTTTAATCGCGCACAGCACTCTCTCCCACACATTAGGGCTCTTCCGCGACAATATTTAGGGTTCTTCGCAGTTTCCTCCAAATGAGCTCCTTTTCTCTGGCGCAGCACCGCCGGCTGCTCCTGCTGCTACTGCGGCCGCGATCAGCGCGGGGTGTGAGCAGCTCCTGCGCTCGATTGGCCGATGACGATGAAAAGAAGGTCTCGTCGAGGCTGTTCCAGCGGCAGCAAGTGATGAATGCGAGGGAAGAGGACGCGTTGGAAGAGGCTACGGGGCCACCCCCAAAGGTTACAACGGGTGAGCGTGTTTCTCTTGTTTTCTGGAGTATTTTCCTTGTGTATGGTTTCTTACTCTCTCGCTTTGCTTGTCTCTTTTTTCTTTTGCGCTTGAAAGATCATGTTACGATGAGCTTCGCCAGGAGCAGCGGTGCTGGAGGCCAAAACGTGAACAAAGGTACGTGGTTTGCCAGTTTCATTGATCCTTCCCTCGTACCAAATTTTCCTGTGGCAGTGAACACCAAGGTGGACATGCGTTTCAAGGTCATGGCTGCTCAGTGGCTGCCCCTCAGAGCCAGGCTCAAGCTGCTTCAAACGGTCGGTCATGTTTAGAAAGAAGTGAGAGAGCTGTGCTCGTTTCGGCGAAACGCTTGCGAACTCATCGTTTTTGTAGGAAAGGAACAGGATCAACAATGAGGGGGAGCTTGTTGTGACATCGACAAAGAACAGGACACAAAAGTACGTAGTGCTTGCATTTTTCTGGCAGAGCTTCACGACGGATAATTGGCAGGGGAAACATAGAAGACGCGCTTGAAAAAATACAGGTAGGTGATTGATAAAGAAAGGTTGTGAAGCTTAGCCAATTTTTCCAACTCTTGCAGGAGATAATTGATGAAGCATGCTATGTGCCGCCGCCTCCTTCGGAAGAGACGAAAAATCGCGTCATCAAGTTGTATGTAGTGCTGGCGATTCCTCCGTAATCCATTGTAAAGGACTGACTGCTGGTCTCTTGTGGATTCCAGAGCTGCTGCTGAAGATCAGAAAAGGCTCCAGATAAAAAAACAAATTGCCAACAAGAAATCGTCACGGAGGGAACGTTTCTAGATCGAGGTACAACCAGTAGAGAGACAGATAGGGAGCGTGTGTAATTACGTTGTGTAGAACAAAATACTTTTTTCTACAGAACGTGCAAGCTTCACTTAAAAACTGTGGTACTCTCAGCAATCAGTCCCTTCCGTGGATACACTCAACAACGGGGTAAAAGCTCTTAGCTCCAGTCGCAGCTATCGATGTCTTGCTTATTCCAAGGGAAACTTTCGAGTTCGATGTGCTAATATGGACTCCGGACAGTGCCGCCAGATCCACATCTGGGTGTCTCTCCGGATGGAGCTCTTCATGAAGGTGGGCATTGTGATTTCTCATTGTCTGTATACCCCACTAAACTGTTTCACTTGAAGATAGAAATGCAGGTAAATAATCGATGAGAGGTTTTGAAGCTAGCCAACTTTGTTCACTTTGCAGGAGATAATTGAAGAAGCATTGCAACGTTGCAAGGCCATCGCCGTGGTGCTCTTTGCAGAAGATCTGGAATTGTTAACAGTCAAATTGAGGTATGCGATACAAGAGTGATTACTGCTGTCTTTGGAGTGTTGCATTGAGGAATAATTGTTCGTGCATTTTGTTTCCTTATACATTCCATACTTTTAGTGGTTGTTCATATTTCGATTTCGTTACACCTTGTGTGCACAGACTTGAAATATCACAGGAACGCAAACTGGCGCAGTAATCCATGCCCTCTCTCCATTTGGCGGTCTTGTCAAAGAACAAAGTGGCCTCTAACTGGCTGTGGCAAGGATGAGTTTTAGTGCTATACAAAGTTCTAGCGGCTTCTTCACGCAAGACAACAAGATCAAGTATTTTCACTCCGGTAGACGCTCCAAGGCTCTGAATGTGGGCTCTTTCACCCAATTCTCAGCAGGTAGCTCTATTTTCTTGTGTGGCTTTTGTCGTCACAAGCTTGTTATTGTTTCAGGCCTTGTGCTGAGAGCTGGACTAGAAGTTCATGGTACTCTCAGCATTCAGTCCCATCCGTCAAGCAAAGAGGTGCCCAGGCTTTTCTTCTTCTGATCTGCTAGAGGTTTTTCCTTGATTGCAGAGCACGAT